ATCTTAAATGACTGTTCAGCACAGAAATGAAGCCCAACAATCATGTTTACAGTCCCGTGGTCTCAGCCTCAGATACTCAACTAATCAAAGTGATGTCATGACAAAAATGAATGACCAACAAAAAAATTTTCTCCTTCATTTCTGTCACACAAAGCTGTATGTAACGTTTCTCGCGGTTAGTATCATGGCCAGACCGTCCCATTTCACAAGCCTCTCACTTCGGCACTTCTCATACTTATAGTACGCACCGTACATAGTACGTGTAGTGTGCGTACTTCAAGCGTGCAGACCCTGAATTGGGACACAGCCAGAGCGAGGATTTTCACATCAACACTAAGTCACATCCACCACAGAAGAAGAGCCAGAAACAGGAAACAATGAGCGAAAATGAGGAGGGGGAAGCGATCCGTTTGATTTTCTGTGAAACTGAGTCAGTAAAGACTAAACTGATCCACGAACCACAGAGCAGAGGCTGCTCCGACACGCTCACAGAAACATTAACACAAAAACACATCAGAGGGTAGAACGGGCTCTTTGCCCTGTGCCCAGCTCTGACCTGCAGGATGTCCCGGCTGTTCCCGATGCCCTCCTCCGTCCACAGGGCCGCGACGCGCTCGGGGCTCGTACATCCTGAGCCGTCGTCCAGCCGGCTGAGCACCCTCTGACCCACGGTGGCCATTAGCAGGGAGGGCGAGGCGGAGCGGGCCGAGTGCTCCTCTGACACCTCCCGAGGCTGCATGGAGGAGCAGAACACAGAGTCCAGGTTCAAAGGTCGGCACGCAGACAGAGCAGCTTAAGCCCAACGCAGGACCAGACTCCAGAGGAGCGCCTGCCGCAGCCCCAACCATTAATCTGGATTAGCTTCAAGGCGAGCCTGAAACACGCCAACATCCTCGCACACACGCACGCACATCTGTGTGTGTGTGTGTGTGGACGGGTATTAACATCTTCATGGGGGCCAAAAATTGGTAGTTTACTATACTTGTGAGGACAAACAGCCCTCGTGGGGCTCAAAATCCCCACGAGTTTGAAGGCATTTTTGAGACTCAAAATGTGGTTTTAGTTTCAGTGTTACGTGTTAGGTTATGTACATTTCAAAATAAGAGCACATCTAACTGCTCAGAGTTTCTGGGTTCAGAGTGAGTCACCTGACTGTAGCAGCACATGGCGGCGGCAGCACTCATCCTCTCCGTCCTCGCAGCCTGTGATCACGATGGCCTTTACCTGTCTGTGTGCACTACTACCTGCTCACCTGCAGCCACCACAGCTGATTGGACTGATGAGCTCCAGCTGCGCAGAGCCTCCTGACTGGCTGAAAGGAGGCGAGGAGGGCGGTGCTGCGTTCAGGAGCCGCTGGGACATTCTCACTCTAAACACAGCTCATCGATCTGACTGACATTATTTCTAATATTCAGCTTCTTTTTTTTTATTCGACACTGAAATTAAATGTTAAGTAATTTAATGAAGCTCACAGTCTTTATCTGAGCAGTGAGACGTTCAAGGTCAGGGTCACTCAGGTCTGAGGGGCGGAGTTATTGACACAGGTGAAGCAGTGACCTCATTTTCTTTCGTGGAGTATTTCAGCAGCTCTGACTTCGACTGCAGACTCTTCTCTGAACGTGTGCGCCTCACCTTGTGTGGCGCTCTCAGGTCAGCTTGTCGTACTGGGGTGGAACAGGTGATGGGGGTGGAGCCACAGAGCACCTTCTTGAATTCCCTGATGCTGACCCTGCCGTCTAGGTCGGGATCCAACTTCCTGAGCAGCACGTCCACTTCCTGTTTATGAGCAGAGAGATCAATACAGATACTGATGTCATCACAAAGGGCGACAGTACACACCTCACCTCAGTGTGCAGGTGTTGCAGACCCAGGTGTTCGCACACCAGCATCAGCGCGTGTCCTCCTGGCTCCTCCCCCTGGTGGTGACCTGCAGACAGACACGTGTACCTGAGCTTGAACACGGAGGTTCTTCCTGCATTGGCCTGCTGAGAACAAGCTTCTAAACTTTCATCTATACAACTGAGCGCGCTCAGTCGCGGTGTGTGGACACCGTGCTGCTGAGATGTGTTCCTGTCACGTCGGGTACGTAACTTTGATGAACACAGTTTTGGTAAAAAGAAAATAAATAACTATAAATAAACTATGAAGACAAATTTATCACTCAGGAAGACAAATGTACAAACAGGAAGTTGTCACCAAGTGACGGTGTGCAGTACGATCGCTGAACGCCAGAATAAAAACACCCAGAAACAAAGAGAAGGGAAACGTTCAGCAACAAGATGTGTGTGTGTGCGTGCGCGAGTGTGTGCATGTATGGAACCAACAGCAGCAAGAAAACTCCAATAATTAATAATATTGGAGTTTAATAATAATTAAACTCCAGCGACAGGACGTGGCGGTACCTTTACACTGAAAGGATGTCTCCTTCTGACTTCCTGCCTCCTCGTCAGACTTCAGGCTCTGCAGTGAAAACATGAAGGTCAGTGATTGCAACACACACACACACACAGTGAAGCCAACAGCTATTGGAAAAACTTCCTGAGCAGTCGTTACTTCTGCCGCACTGAGCATGTTATATATTTGTGTGTGCGTGCTCACGTGCACACTCCTGACTGTCACGCTGAAGAGCTTAGCGTGTAAACCCTCGTCCATCGGGACATTCACGGGACGGATCAGGACCTTTAGGACGTGTTTTGCTCGCAGATTAAAATGTTTACATATTCGATGAAGAAATCTTCAAAAACATTCAGAATCAGCTGATCGCTGCACAGCTGAAGTACTGCCATCAGCTTCACATCCATCACAGTCCAGTGATGGACTCTCTGCAAAAACAGTTTCACTGACAGACACAGAAAGATTATATCAATTATAAATTAAATAATAAATTATAATTCTGACTGAAGTGCACACTCAGGCCTGTGAGTCCCGTTCAGCCATGGCTCATCTCTGCCAGTCAAACACACTTCGTATACTGAACTGTACATTTATTGTCTTTCAAGAAGTCATTTTTATTCAGTGTTTTCATAAAAGCCTCATTTTTATGCATTTCTGCTACTATGGAGAACACGTGAGTTGAAGGACCAGTTGGAAACCTTTATCCAGCTGCTGATGTTGTCATTGCTCAGCTCTGCAGTCGGCCCTCGAGGACCGGAGTTTGAGACCCCTGCTCTCGCTTATTTGGTTGCAGTTCTACTGAGATTTAAAAATAGACATGCAAACAGGATCGTGGGCGCTGCTCTGTGGGCGCTGCTCTGTGGGCTTAGGCCATGATGTCCCGTGGGACACGTGCTCTGTTTCAGATCCAAATGAAAACTCTCTGATGTTCCTGTTACTTTGTCAGTCTGACTCTCAGCACTTTACCCTCTTATGCAGACTGATTGATTCACCACAGCTGTGGTCACACTGTGAAAACGTGTTTGGTGAGAGGTCGCCGACCAGTCTCCAGGCCTTCCACTGATCAGTGCAGGAGGAAACGCACGGACTCATGAAAGAGGCCAGTGTGTCTGCAAACTCAGGTACAGCATGAGGACAAAACTGAAGGCACCACGACGCTGCTCCAGCCTGGAGGGACAAAGTCCAAATCCATACTCGGCACCTCTCCAGCACCAAAGTGAGCGCAGAGAGTCAGTTACTTGAGGTGAAGACTGCAGTCAGAGCGTTTCCTTCTGAAAAACTGTCCAATGCCTCAGACAAACCCAGGAAGAAAGGAAAGGGTGGCTCTGGTGTAAAGAAGTGATGAAGAAGAAGAAGAGGTGGAGTCGTGTTCCCGCAGCAGAGCCGCTGCACTGAAGCTGTTTCACATTCTCAGTCAGCAAAAACTAAAAGTGAGAAGCAGCAGCCAAACCAGCGGAGCGTCTGCCAGCAGCCGCATTCCTCACAATCCCACTTCCTGAAAGACCTCCACCGCCCCAAAACCACCAAACCTCCTCCTCCCCCCTCAGGTATTCACAGCCTCGGCTGCAGAATTGCAGGAAACCTGAGACCAGCTGACTTCACACAGTGAGAACCAGACCGCAGCTGCAGCCTCACCGATGCAGAAACATTCAGAGGTCAGAGGTCACAGCATTGTCACGGCACGAGAACAAAGTGACAAAGAGCTGAGTAAACCTCCTCCTCCGCCCTCTGCGTGCCGCTGAAAACCTAAAACCAGAAACTCTAATTAGAGAGCTGCAGCTCCCGAACGCCTCGGCCGGCGCAGACACACGAGATCCAGGCGACGGACAACGGCGGGACCCTGCAGCGCGGCACGCACACACAGTTTCAGGTGTTCAGTCAGACAGCATCACTGTGGTACGCTCACACGTACAGGAAGCCCACATTCAGGGTGTTCCCACAGTTTTTAACTGAAACTCCAACCAAACCACTCGAAAATGACTCCAGAGCTCAGAGTTCTAATTACTTTAATTGCAGGCAGACCTCCAGCCGCCATAAACATCCTGACGAGTGAACCGAGTCACATGACCACACCTGGGCGTCTGATAATGTGGCTTCATGTAATCCATGAATCGAGGCCCGAGCTTCCAACCACGGACGCGATGACAGAGACCGACGCGAGATGTGCCAACATGTGACTTCTTTGTGTTGATTATGATTTTAAATTCTTTATCAAGCTAATCACTCCGGCCAGCGAAGAAACAGACCACAGCCGGGTTAGCGTCTCAAACTCAGTCAAAGGAAAGAAGAACAGGAAGTCAGTGTTTCAAAATAAAACTAGCTCTCACCTCCACGCTTTCCAGTGACGTCGCCCGTCTCAGTTTGGCCTTTCGGATGCCAGTCGGTGACGAGTCTGAGGCCTCCGCTCTGGACGGCGGAGAGTCTTCTGAGTCACGGGTAAGCGCGGCGTCGGGTTTACTGCGGCGGCCGTAACGCTTCGCTCCTTTCACCAACTTTGGCTTCACCTCCTCTGGAACAGCTGCAGAGAGGAAGAGGAGCAGCCTGAGTGGGTCAGCAAGACGCCGCTGCGACACTCGGAGCCAGAATGTGCCAAAGAAGAATCCTCCTCGGACTTTAACCAGACCACCCAGCTCCTGCACGTCTGCAGCCTGCAGACGGCGTTTATCTGCGCTCTCTGTCCCAGTCCTACATCCAAACTGTTCAGAGGGCCGAGGATTCGTGCGGCGTCCTGCTGCGCCACAAACACTGAAACCATGTTGGTCATAACGAGCTGCTCAGTGTGCTGTGGTGTCAGCGACCGCAGCAACAGCAACACGGCCGTCGGCTGTCTGAACATGTAAAAGCCCTCACACCTGCATTGCTGCCTCAGAGCCATGATTAATCCAACACAACACCCTGAAGGTCACATGACTTAAGGTTTACATCACGCTATAAATAACATGAAACCAAACAAGAGATCAGCTGACATCCATTTGTGTTCCCCAATCATGAACCTCTGACCCCTGACCTCTGTAGGCCTGCCCCCTTTCTATGTGTCACCTGGCTCCAGGTAGCTGCTGTCGTCCTCTGATGTCCCGAAGTCCAGAGAGCGGGACAGCACGGCCACAAAGCCCTCCTTAAACTCCTCGAAGTTCACCTGAAACACAAACACTTGATTTTATTGAAAGCGCCACACAAATAGTGTGTGTGTGTGTGTGTGTGTGTGTGTGTGTTATGTGTGTGTGTGTGTGTGTTGTGTGTGTGTGTGTGTGTGTGTGTGTGTGGAGAGTGACCGGGCCGTAGCGCCTCTCTCCCAGCAGCGTGGCGAGCAGCAGCGGCAGGTGAGCGTCCAGCTGCAGTTTGCGGCACAGCGCCGTGAGCTCCTCTCGGTCCAGGAAGCCGGTCGCCGTTGTGTCGCAGCTGTCGAACTCGGCCTTCAGCTGAGAGACGTAGCGGCTGTGCTCCGCCTCCTCCATGCCAACGCATCACACTGTGGCGCCCACACCTGGAGAGAAAACACAGGTCAGGCAGAGTACAGCGAGTTATTCACCGGTCAGGTGTAGTTTTGGTCTTTCAGCTGAAACACAGCGAGGTCAGTGACAGGAGTGGTTAAACTTCAGACTCTCTGCTTCCATTTAAGAGCTTGTTGAACGACCCTTTAAAGCAGCGGTCTCCGACTTTTTTTGCGCCACGGACCGGTTTATGCCCGACAATATTTTCACGGACCGGCCTTTAAGGTGTCGCGGGTAAATACAACAAAATAAAACTAGTACCGAAAAAAAAAGATTTATTCATAACACACGTGAAAAGACCCAGGAAAACCGAGTAAACGATAAAAACGATAACAAAATAACGCTGAAAACCGATAAAAACCCTGAAAACTAAACATTTCACGCCTGAGCCTCAACTCTCACGGACCGAGGCCCGGGGGTTGGGGACCGCTGCTTTAAAGTATTACTGCTGTTTTTACCCAGAGTGCACTGTTTTCACAGGAAGACAACATGGCAGGATGATCCCAGGAGACCGCTGAGGTGACTCTCATCCCAAGTACAGATGTGATTTTAAGAACCCTCCGTGCCTGGAAGCCCGGGACTGCGTGCTGTTCATTCCACATGTATGACCCTGAAACACGCCTCAGCCCCTCCCACATGCCTCTGTTACATCATCAGTGCCCCTCTTACCTGTGTGCTGGCTGTTTCACCATCATCGTCCTCAGCACACTGCTTCAGCCTGGAAACACCAGACTTATTGATACGTCTGTCTCCATTAAAAACAGACGAGAACTAAAGCACTCATCAATCGATCGATCGTCCACGGACCGTGTTCTGATCTTTTTTTTTTTTTTTATGTTTTGGCGATTACTTCAGTCATTTTGTCACAGAAAAGGTAAATAAATTACACACACTGTATATAAAAATGGACCCCTCCCTTTGTGGACATGCTGAAGTGGACCTTTAACTTTGTGGCCTGTGTGTGATCACCTGGCTTGGCGCTGTTATCAGTCTGCATCCACAGACACCTGCTGATCAGTTCTCACTAACATCCAATCAACATCCTAGAATTTCACTGCAGACCCAACCTGGAGCCCGTTCTTCTTGGAGGCCCCATTAGTACGGTAACCTCACAGCAGCCATGTCATTGGTCAGATGATGTCATTAAAACGGCTGAGGATCTCCTCTGTCACACCAGCCCTCTACACGTCCTCCTTCTCCACCTCCTCTGAGCACCTCCTCTTTTCCTCCTGCCTGGCAGCTCCACCTTCATCATCCTTTGTCTGACAGTGTGTTATCATTGATCATAAGCTCTGTGGTGATCCTCCAAAGTTAAATTCAGCTCGTATTTGATATTCTTGAATTCGATTAGTTATCAACACGCTGATCAGTGCAGCTGCTGTTGTGTTTTGTGCTACAACAGTGGACAATGAAGTTGTTTTGAAAGCGACACAGGTGTGAGATACCCGAGCAGGAGTTTAACGTCAGCTACGGTCAATGTAAACACGAACGTTTCCGGAAACCCCCTCGGCTCTGTCCGGAGACTCTCGCGAGCTGAAGAAGCTTCACCATGGGAACAGAGTCGCGAGCCGCGGGAACAAAAGCCAAAGAGCCAAAAAAAAGTACAAATAAATCAATAAAACACTGAAAAACTTTTTTTTCACCCCTTTAAACTCCCGCTTCTAACGGAGAGTCTCCCCGGTAACCAGCTCACGTTAACATTAACCAGATGAAGTTAACGGTAACCGTGAGTCCGGACGGGTCGGTAGGTCAGTCTTACCGCGGGAAAAGTTCTCCTCCTCCGGTCAAACTTCACGTTTCCTCCATGAACGGCCTCCCGGAGCTCCGCCGTTAAGCCGCTGAGCACAAGTTACCGGAGCCGCAACACCGACACACCGAGCACCCCGAAAACCACACACAGGGGTATTTCCGCTCCGCCTTCACAATAAAACACAGCGACGGTGCGGCATTTTACCGGCAGCGGAACCTTTCAAAATAAAACACAAACAAACAAGAAATAATAAGATAAGTTTAAAACTGTGAATTACAAATATTAAACAGACATTTAACATTAATAAAGTTACATGGACACGGAGTGAACTACATGATTACAATCCAAAAAAGAAATAAATTGCACAAATAAATGGATACAAATTTTAGTGCACTAAAAAAAAAAGAAAAGAAAAGAAAGAAACATAATCAAAAGAAAATAATCAGCACTGAAATCAAATTCATTTTTAAACAGTTTTATTGATCTCTGCGTCTTTTACTCAAACATAGTAAATAAGAGGAAATAACAGGTAAATGCACACATCAGTGTACCCCACCTGATTGATGTCACACCTGATCAGCCTCAGGAGCAGCTCTGAAACTAAACGTTACAACAACGCCCTCTGACCTGAACGACTCTTTCAAAGAAGCTGCTGGAGCACCAGAGTCCTGAACACTCAGTGACTGGACTGACACACACACACACACACACTCACACACACACACACACACACACACACACACAAACTCACACACACCGCACAGGGTTGTTGGTCTTCGGTCAACAGATGTAGCTGCGGTTCTCATTGCTTGCTCATTTTCGCGAAGTTTTTTGCACAATTGGGCATGCTGTGTTACCATGGTCCTGGTGCTCTGTAGTAGTACGTGTCAACAGTGTTAGGTGCGAGCCAAGGCGTCCATTTCACCCTGGGTGGCTACCATTAATAAGTGGCCACTTGGACTTTGACTTGATTTGCATGGTGGACGAACG